ACAGAGTAAACAGGAATCGTTCTTCCATGGTTCTTTCTTTTCAAAATGTACCAACAGAAGCCTAAAATTCTGTTGCACGCTATATATGTGCATGCCAGGGGTATTTGTGTACATACATGTGTGTGACTGTTCTTGTGTGTTACGTGATGAAACCTCAGACAGTCAGACCTCTGACAATGTCAGTAAGACTAGAGCAGTTGCTACTTCTAGTCTCTACCTTCTACTATGGGATTTCTAATTGAAAACATGTCTAATGAACTTCAGGACTGCTTAGGGTGTTTATGTGTCTATACATGAGCATATGGATATAAATGGGAAACTCACACTTCCTGAGAGAGCCCATGAGCAAAGACTATTGCTGCTTGCATTGCTGACTGCATATTCCTTTCTACAAGAGGCTCAGAAATGCCAAGCCATTTTGTCTGACAGCATCATAACAATAAGTATATTCTGAACTTTAGAGCTGACAGCATTTCTCAAAGAAATCCATTCATATCATCCATCCAATCATGTTAAGGACAAGGCCAGCTTTGCCACACATATTGCTGGATACAATTCAGTAAGAATAAAAACTGGCATTGCTGGATAATAAAGCATAACAAAATTACTATCTTCACAGGGTATAGCACAGATAAATCATATATAGAATTTTCTCCAGATACTAAATGTAAGTTATGACAAGCATCAGTCATCTCTTCAGATTGATACACAATCACAGATCTGATAAGAGCACTAAGCATCTTCCTTTCAGGCTAAATGGAACAAGAAATTAAACATCTGCTTATGAAAGGGTAGTGAGGGACAACTGGAGGCTACTGCCCAAGAAAATGGCTTTAATATCAAAGGCTGGACTAAGCCCTGTGGTCTAAAGAAGCTCAGGATTTATTTCAGTGGGAAAAAAGGCTGTGGGATTTATGCAACCGTAAGAGTGTTCGTGGGGAAAAGCAGGGAGACTCTTTTCTTCTAGGGCTCCCTTTCCACAGGCATGGAACGAGCTGGAGAAAAACCTGAACTAGTGAAGAAAAAAACTCCCTGTTCTGGTTTCTGCCTTGGCAGGGCAACAGAGTTTTGGGTATACCATTAATGATATGTAGGTTTATACCAACAAAGTGTTTGAATTCTTGGAAAATTATTTTCATAATTTTTAATTTTGGAAGAAATTCTGTGTTCTATTAGTTCAGCACTCAAATGTATTTAAAATATTTGTCCCTTCACCTTGTGCTGACATTTCATCATCATACTGGCCTAAAGCTAGAGACATGACTAATGAGCTCAGGGTTTCTGTACCTTGGAAGATGTCCAGGTAAGAGCTGATACGTTTATAATCTTGATCTGTCTTTAAGATCTCAGTTTAAAGAGAAACTGCCTACAAGGAAACCTGGCTTTCCTAAGCATGAGTTGAATCACAGGGATTTTAGAGGATGAGTGAGGTTGAAGAAAGAATGGCCAGAGAAAAAGGAATACTTACTCTGTAGTCACAATTAATAATCTCTTATACTTTCTTTGTTAAATAGATAATATGTTTAAATCCTTTTGGAAGAGGGAGCTGACTTTATGCTTTTACATAACATTTCTTCTCATAGGAAGCAAATCAGGATGCTTGTGCCTCCAGTGAGATTCTGGGAAAGAGCACTCACCAGGCATCTGCAGAGCCACCTCTGTCCCTGAGAACAGGCACCCATAATCACCTCTGAGTGCAGCAGCAGATGCTGAGTAATTGGTCCCAACTCTGAACATGTGGAGAAATCTTGCCTGGCCTATGTTTTTTATCCAGAGGCTTAAAACATCCCAAGACCTTTTAAAGGCAACCTGCTGCCCAAAAGACAGGAAAGGTTGCAGAGTTCTGCAAAGGAGATGAGAGTATTTAGGTCCGCAGGCATACTCTAAAGCCTATCACTTTTCCTCTAGCCTCAAGATACCAGGTGTATTTTGAGGTTCAAATATTTGGCTGTATGTTCAGAGATTTTTGTAGGATTTCTGCTTCTCTTTGTTTCATAGCTGGAGAATGTTCCTCCCATCTCGGAAATCCTACTACCAACACAGCAAATAGATATCTTTTGACACTGAGTGGTACACTGTCCAGGTAATGTGTAATATGTGAGGATAACAGATTATAACACCACCCCATCATAGACAGTAAGGAGGATAGAACAATTGGTATCACTACCACTCGCTAGCCAGCAGAGCCCAGTGTGGAAATCCAAGGCATGCTTGTGAGAGGAATGATGTTGAAAGAAGAGTGATGACGCCGATGAGACCTTCAGTATCTGTGGGAGATGCAATGATGAAGTCTCCTGAAGATGACAGTGAGTAAAGAATAGTTTGGCTTGCTCAGTCCAAGCATGCCTGCTCTGAAATCCATCTTCTGTTTGTCAGTTTTCATGCACTGTCTCTATGTTACACTGAGGACAAGCTGGAAGCTGCAATATAAATAAGATGTCTATTGGATAAATGTGTTTCTTGTTATATGCTTTATAAGGTAAAATCAAGTCAGCAGTTGAAGTGGTGCTCTAGGCAGCACAGGTAACATCTCCCAGAGGAGCACTGACTTCTTCGTTTATATTGCAAAGGATGAGAACTGGGAGTTGAATGAAGCCAAACTACCCAAATAGGGAACTGAGCTGAAGGAGAGTGATTTGCATTCTAAATATGGGATTTTTTTGTCCCACTTCCAGGACAATGTCAGGAGTGAAATACTGCATTGTCACCAAAAGAGGATAGTGGTGTGCAACATGCCACTGATTTCATTAGTTAAAAGAATATTGCTTCTGCTTTTGATATTCTCTTGAAGCCAGTAATGTGAAGGACAATTAGAACACATCAGAAATTTAAAGGCTTGGTGATGTTATAACCAATAGTGTGAATATTGGTTGGTTTATCTCCTCCACAATTGATGGAGAATTTCCCCAGATTAAATCCTGAGTAACTATCAAGAACAAAGACACATTTCAGGTCTATCTCAATTGTGATTTTATTTTCATTTTTCTATTCTAGCTTTGTATGCTTAGATATTGCAGTTGGCCAAGGGACACTTCACTTGCTCTTAGCTTGTAAGGAACAATATGTTGTTATTTTTATAAAGATGGCTCAAGCTGAGCTGATTGATACACTGTTACTCCAAGAGCAACAAATTTACTCTCTCTGATGTGTATTTTAGGGATAAAACTGAGAGGTCAAATACACATTTCAAATTAACCATGTGTGAAATTAATCATGTTGAATTAGTGGGGAATTTCCCTGGGTGGCTATAATTTATCAAAATATGAACGACAGATAAACTAACAAACATAAAGTGTTAGCATAGTGAGAGGATCTTTATTTATAAGCAGCATTTAGCACCATTTAATTCATGAGTTTGGTTTCTACTGACCATCTGTCATAGCTGCTGTCAGCTTAACAACCCTCATGAACTTTGCCAGTCCTGGTGTTAGACTTCAAAAGATGCTGTGCCCACCCACCACTATCACTCAGATCCATAGACCATATTGTGACAGCATGAAATAAAGAGTGGTTTTGGCAGGAACTAGAAGAGGCTGCCCCTGTGTTTCAGTTTTGCTCCTTCCAAAGTAGCAGGCATTTAATTGGATTAACTGGACTGTGGTCACTACTGCTTGAAGCAGTAGCATCAGGTTCAGCATCAGATGCCCTCTTGGTAATCAGAATATCTTTCCTCAGGGCCATTTGAGAAACGGTGGGAACTAAATCCTTGTTGCAAGACTGTACTCCCCTCACAAATGAGGTTCCTAGCAGGACCAAGTAAAATACATTATCTATGTCCAAAACAGCTTGTATGGCATAGAAGAAGTCAGGAGCTTTTAAAATACAGATTATAAGAATCTTCTTAGAAGCCTAGAAGCAATGAGCACTCATGAGCTGTATCAACAACTTCCATCAGTGCAGCCTGGCACAGATGATTGCAATAAACATCAAAAGACATTTATCAAGTATTAATTCTTCTTAATTTGTCTTTAAGAAATGTGGGGACATGGTAGTTCCTATCAATTCCCTATTTTGGTATTCAGCTCACCAACATATATTTTTACCCTCTGTGGATCTTGACATGCATGTTAGTCACTGTGATACAGAGATCGTTGCTGAAACTCCCATTTATAGTCCCCTGTAACTATCCAGCAGCTCTGGGAAGAGGTTTTTTTTTAACTTGTGTTCTCTCCACTGTCCTCACACTGGCTGAGCGGGAACTGTTCTCACCTCTGCTGAAAACTTTATACATCTACACTATTTTACTACATGGTGCAGAACACTGAGGTTCAAATCCCTGTTTGCAAACTTCCTCGTTTGCTAAAATTTCCAAGTGTATTTCAGAGTCAGCAACAAAAGAAAGTAAAAATGGACAAAAAACACCCCTTAGGCATGTGCAGATACAGATAGCACAATAATAATTATAGTATCATTTAGTAGCTATAGCTTTTTACAAGATTGCAATAATTTGATTATCTAAATCCTGCTATTTTGACATTTCCAATAAAATTATTGGGTATTCATAGTTTTGGTGAGCTTCTGTTATTGATCTCTGATCTGCTTATTATCAAGAATAAAGCTTGGGTACACTTCGCAAACATCATCTCTCTTTCTACCTCTCTTTAGCATTCTTTTACTGCCCTAGTGAACATAGAAAATACCTTGTAAAATAAAAGTCTCATGGACTCCAGAGAAGCTAATACATATGGAATGTATAGCAGTCTGAGGAGGTGCATGAAACTGGAGGTAGCTTTTATTTTGAGCTGTTTGAGGAGGCACATTCTGGAGATCATTTTCTCTTCCCATTGGCAAATCTCCCATGAGAGTTGTGGTGAGCTGGATGCAACCATTCCTCAAAATCTGCTCCATTAGCACAGGTGCCCAGCTGGACCAGCCAATGCAGGTTTATTGTCTATACCATGCCTAGTGTGCTTGCCTACATATCTTCAAGCGTGCCAGCTCCTGGATTTCCCCATCTACACTGAATGCATATGAATTACAGGTTGGTTCCTGCACTACAGGTGGACTTGTGGCAGCCCAGCAGCCCCTTGCACATCGTCGAAGGTACAGTCACTGATGTGCGAGTACCGCAGAACACAACCCGAAGTCTGCTGCCCTACCTCCAGCAAGCAAACATCCAGTACACGTAAGTCCACGCTTTGCTTTCTGTGCCTAGCTCCAGAGATCTGGCCTTCAGGGCAGGTCTGCATCTATCACACCATGTGCGCTTGGAAATACGTTCCACATTGTAGCAATTAGACTGGCAGGCAACTAGGCACTGCCAAGAAAACAACTGTTTTAATGGGAGAACAGAAAATCTCCCACCGGCAGGCAGTTTCAATTAAATGTCCTCCTTTGGAGGCAAGCTGAAGTTTTCAAAGTATGTGAAATCACATCTGCTAAGAGAGGGGTGGTAATTACTAATTCTACAGCCTGTTTTGCCTCTCTGTATTTAGCAGGAGCAAGGTTTATTTACATGTGTGCAAACTCTGCAGATGTGGAGAAAAGCCTTCTTCATCAATTATACAGGAACATACTAGGTCTATTATTCTCCATTCCTTGTGACCCAAGGCAAGTCATACAGTAAAAATATATGCTAAGGATCACATATCATTTATAGTGTTCCTTAATATAATTCTAGACAATTTTGGAGCATACTTATCCTTCCATATTTATCAATATGATATACTGGACAAGAGTAATGATCTTGTAATTAAAGCCTTTTCAGTGAGATGCCTTAGCGTCTGAATAATCAACTGATGAGTTATTTGAATCCTCAGACTTTTGCTGAATAAAGGCCTACATTGGGTTATTTATACTTATTTCTCTGTGAGAAAAGGGTAGTGTAAATCATACTGTATATGTATATGCATATATATATAACTCACCAGAGTTCCACTTTTGTTATAACACTGGTCTCATTAATTTGTTGTTCTAAAAATACAGAAACAAACATAAGGAAATTAATTACACAAGCTCCATAGTTGAAGTTCAGAGTGACTTTCATGTGGGTTCAACACTATTTCAGTTTATGTTTAAAACTGAGATGGGGGTTTCTATAATTGTTTTCCTGTGCTTATGAAAAATATGTCCCCTAATTACTGTGCCCCAGAAGTTGTACTCACATCTGCTGCTGTTCCTGCTCACAGTAATCACCTTTAATGAAATGACAGAAGGTCATTTTATATGTGTTATAAACACTCCCTGTACTTCAAGACCTCTACTTAGGTTTCAGAGCACAGTGTGCAAGGGCAAGAACTGCAAGAGCAAAGGGTCTCTGCAGTTTACCTGAAACAACATGCTACAAACACTAGGACAACATTACATTAATTTTCCAAAGCAAAAATCTCCTCTCTGATTTTTGGTGCACAAGTTGTGTGCACCCAGAAGGAAGCAGGGCAGATTTTTGTCAGGTACAGACTTTTTTCTGTGCTCTCCATCTCCCCACTGCCTGTTTCAGATGGTCCCAGCCATCAGAAGCAAAACCCTGCAAAGCCTCTACAAGCATGTGCTTGTCCTGACAAGCCTCCTAAGATCTGTAACTCTGCAAGAGCCAGGAGGATTTGCCATGAGAGCAACAACAGCCACAGTGAGCGGGTGGCAGGAGTGGGGCGGCCAGACACAGCAGGACTGGGGACCACAGCCCTGAGCTGAAGCACAGCTTCACAGCCAAGATTTTGTACAGCTCCTTTGCACATGGCTGGTTTTCACAGTATTTTTGTTAATTTATTTTTTATACACTCTGAAAAGGAGTTAAATTGCTGTTGTTAAATCCCTTTTGGAACTGGAAAATCGGAGGCAAACACCAGGTAAAACTTTAGCCTGAGGTGGTGATGCTTGTCTAAATTCTGAAAAATTTCTAAAGTCAGGAAGCATTAAGCATCCCTATTAGTGAACAAGGTGACCAGCCCTTGCCTGTAAGACAGGTTTATCTGTCTCAGGGTTTGACTTCATGACAAGAAGACGGTCATGAAAACAAGCCAGATACCAGACAAACTCTGATTGTGCCAAGTTGCCTCGGTTGTAAGCTTTCTGTGAAAGAAACCTCTTAGGTTGTATTCAGACATGAGGGACTTAAGAGCCTTTGTGTTATAATCACACCCAGTACACAGTCATTTAAGAGTAAGGTAAGATTATCACATCTCATTTAGAGTCCAGATACATAAACAATTAGGTGGTGTGAAATTGAATATATTACCGTATCACAAACAGAGCTTGATCCTGGTAGATGTTTGCACTAGTCAAAATTCTGCAAAGCAGTCAGAATTTTTTTACACATTTTTAATGGCCTAATGACTTGAATAAAACCACTTCTTTAACTACAGGCTTTACAGTACTGGACTTGTATATAGCACTTTGCAAGTCAAGACTGTAATCCTTTCGTTTGCTTAATGAATGTTGCTGATGTAGAACAATGTAATTCCTGATTACACAATTACTTCACTAATGCATTTGAAGAAGGGCTTAATCTCTACTTTGATACTATATGTAGATAGACTATTATCTTTGAGGTATCTGCTGCACAGCTGAGCTGGGAGCAGAGTGAATGCTGTTTCTTTCCATCTTTTTCCAGTCATTGCAGCTAATGCCTATGAAAATGTAGAAGGTTGAATGTGACCATCATTTTACCGGAACGATGAATTAGTGGTATGGTGATTACACATTGCCATGCTTTAGGAGAAGGTCATATACAAGGATGACTCTCAGTTTTACAGTGATGGTGGTGATGTCACTAATGATATTCCCAGGTCCTGCCACTGTCTGATGGAAAGGATTAGATGCTCCAGCTTCTTCATTGTAATTCTCTTTAGATGTTTTCTGCATTATATTTTTATATTTGTGTCATTATTTATTTTTTCTGTAAAACAGGAAAGTATATTTAATTTTCACTTAGTATTGTTTCATGCTTTTCCCAAGTTATTTAAACATAACTGGCAAACAACTATTGCAGAGTAGATAATCTAAACAACAAAGCACACTCGAGAGTTTGTCTTTGTTTGCTGGTTTTTGTGTTTCAGACAGAATGATAATGTTGCCATGTTCTTCATTTTTTTGTTTTGCCTCTACAACTACATGTAGTGTTCCATGCCATCACAATAGCTTCCAAGAGGAAGTATGTGCATGTTTTTCTAAGCCCAGAAGGATTTTTTTAATGGTTTTAAAATCAGTTTTTGAAGATCCATGATCGTATAGTATAACTGGATTATAAAAGAAGACAGCAAATGCTGTTCCATAAACAACTGAAAGTGGTTGCTTCTTCACACTGGCTGCATTATTTACATCATTCTGTTTTAGTCAGTTAACAAGCTCATTGTGTTTTTGAAGGCACTGTTACATTTCAAAGCAGCTGGAGTATTTATTTGGCAGCTTATATTCCAATGAGCCTGGAGCACTCTATTGTCAACATATAACAGATGAAGTAATGTCAGGATAGTTAAACTCCTGCTATATTTCTTCCAAATGTGATTGTTGTTCTGCTTCAGCCTGTGTGTTCTACTAGTAATCTACTGTTTTCATTAATACTGCTATCTTTTTTTACCTAGGATTCTCATATCAGACCTACAGAAAGTAATAGAAAACCAAACTGGACTGAGGCCATACAGGAATCGAAGGTCACTCTCTGGGTATAACTATGAAGTGTATCACACTTTGGAAGAAGTAAGTGAAAATTTATATTGTTCCTCCTATCCACAACACTGTTGTTTTTAATAAGGCTTCTTTCTCCAAGTTCTGGTTACCTCTTCATCTTCAGAAGTGTTCTATGTTTCTTCTTCAAAAATAGGCACCTTCTTGAAAATATATATATATTTAGTATTTGTATTCAAGGCGTATCTTTACATGTAACTATCTTTGACAGCTACTGAGTTTTATTTTTATAGCAGGTCTTTTGCTCTGGTGGAATAAGAGATTTCAATGAGTGATTAGTCACACTGAGACATTTAAGGAAGCAATATGAGCAAATGCTGAAGTGTTTGTACAAGAGGCACAAATACTGAAAAACATTTAGATACTAATTAATGCATAAGGAATATTATCCTGGATGATGGCTGGGTAAATAATTTCTGTTGATTTCAGTGTGCTCACATATAGAGTTTCAGTCTGCACCAAAACAAAGTCACTAGGCTGGGTGTGGAGAGTGCTGCACCTCAAGATCTGGTGCCTGTGAAACAAATATTGCAGGTAGCATTGAGCCCTGCAGGTCAATCTGTTTGCCATTCTGTGTTCTGGCAGGCAGAATCAGGGACTTTATTTCTTCATTACATTAACATTTCATGTGTGATTGAAGGCTGCATCCAGGCTTTGACAAGACAGCTATCACAGCCAAATAGTAGTTAAAGTGTGAGAACAAAACCAACCAAACAAAACTACAGGAAAGTCCAAAAACTTACAGAGGGCTGAGAGCTGAGATTGATAAATGTATTACAATTGCTTCCCACAAAATGCAAAATTTGAAGAAATTACTTCAGTTCTGTATTTGCAGATCCAGGACTGGATGCATCATCTGAATAGAACTCATTCAGATCTTGTTCACATGTTCTCTGTTGGAAAATCCTATGAAGGGAGACCACTGTATGTACTCAAGGTAAAGATTAAATAGTCCTTAATCAGACCGAAGTCTGGAATTGGGGACTGACACTATTTTACTTATGTTACAGCATATACACCAGAGTCACAGCTTAACAGTGTTTCCTAAGGATAAGTTGCTAAGATCTAAGTATCTCTCTGAATGTCATCTTTAATGAAGAAAGAAAAAAAAAAAGCTGGAAAACTAAAAGCCAAATCCTATTTACTTGGATTGGATATGTATGGAGATAGATTACAGGAGAAGTTCAATTAGCAGGATTTGGATTTAACAAGATTGGAAAGTTTTGCATTTATAGGCAACTAGGAGATTAGTGACACTGGAGAGGGACCCTGGGGACTCTGGAGCCCTTCTCAGATTCTGCCACATATGCTTCCTCTTTAGCTACTGACAAAATTTCAGGGCTGTGTGCTCTCAACTCACATGATTAAGACCACAAATTAGAGTGTGTCAGCAAGACACACAAAAAAATTATTTTCAATGTATTTCCTTCTCCTCTGCTGTTGAAGAGTTCTGAAAATTTGATTCTTCATCAGGGTATTCCTGTAGTGTCAATCTTCTCACCCTACTCCATGTGATGTTTAAGGATATCATTCCTCATAAAACAGCAATTGATAGCTCTTAATTTTCTCAACAGGGTGGGTTTTTTTCCATAGATCAGCCTCATTATCTTGGCATACCTGCCTAACATTATCTTGTCCATACCTTTGAAAACAATGAATTCGTGTTCCTTTGTATGAGGAAATTCAATGTGGTTTAGTATTTCTCATATGCTATTATTTTCTCATTATTGTGTTTCACTATTGTCATGAGATCTATTGATATTTTTGCTAATATTCACACTTCAAGTTAGGTAAAAGATCACGGCCCTACAAGAAAGCTCTCTGGATAGACTGTGGGATTCATGCAAGAGAGTGGATTGGACCTGCCTTTTGCCAGTGGTTCGTGAAAGAAGTAAGTGTTTAAAGATTTATAGTCATAAAGTTACTTCAGTTCAATAAACTTTGCATTTTTGCTATAACATGTCTAATATATTACTAATAAGGAAAATAACTAGCTGTTATGGCTCTTCTTTTATTATTATTATTTATTGTTGTTGTTGTTGTTGTTG